ACCATATGCTTTTTACTTAAAAACTATACTTGCACATTTTTCTCTTGATTCAGATGAGACAACTTTTTCACTGAAGAAAGAAATATGATGGATAGAGGACTATGTATTTTGGACAGAAGGAACCGTTTGAAGTTAAAATGTCTTAATGGTTTGATTGCAAACATGCAGCTTTTCACTTCACAAGATATTAATTGATGGGCTGGAGTTTTATGGTGGAACATTTTAATGTTTTTATCAGCTGTTTGGACTCTCATTCTGACGGCACCCATTCACTGCAGAGGATCCACTGGTGAACAAGTGATGTAATGCTACATTTCTCCAAATCTGTTCTGATGAAGAAACAAACTCATCCACCACAAATGGCAACTTTTCTTTTTTTGGGTTAACTCTTTTTACAAAACTGATCATAAATAATAAATAGTATAACATTGCTAAGATATTGATTATTAAACTGCTCACATGCACTCTTTTAAACACTTGTTTGGTTCAAGTTCAGTTTATTTATAAAGCACATTTAAAAACGACCACAGGCCGACCAAAGTGCTGCAAAGTACAGTAATAGCATGAGAGTTAAAACAGAACACTCTTATAAACCAAAAGCAACAGAGAATAAATACGTTTTGAGATATGACTTGAACTCAGACAAAGTGGAGGCCGATCTAATATAGAGTGGGAGCTTGTTCCACAGTGTCGGGCCGGCCACTTCAAAGGCTCGGTTTTAGCTGGATTTTGGGTTTATCTTTGGATCTAAGGCCTCTGGTGGGAGATAGGGGTGAAGTAGATCGGACAAATAAGAAGGTGCTAAATCATTTAATGCTTTATATACCAGTACTGCAATTGTAAACTCAATTCTAAAATTAATCGGAAGCCAGTGAAGGGATCTCAGAAGGGGGGTCGCGTGATCTTTAAATGGATTGGAAATGACTGATAATATTCAAAACAAATGTCTCAGTTCATTATTTTGCCATAGTGTAAATCTTTTCCAGTCATGGTCCTGTGGAGTACACTATGGTATTGTGTTTAAAATAGCCCTTTTATTGTGTCTGTCGCGTATTGTGAAATTTGTGGCAGGTCACCTCAGACTCCATTACACTAAAAAATTTTTTTTCATATGCATGCAAACTTATGCAGTGTTGACAAACCAGCTCTGTGAATATTGCTTGCACAAATTGTGTAAAGGTGTCTGCCCCTTCACTCTTATTGTTCCCTTTAAAACATTTACAGTTAATTACAGAGTGACCTAAGTGATGATATAAGATAGTTTCAGTGTCGAAATAGTCATTTGCATTGCAGTTCATGTTCATAATTCGTTTATAGGATAAAAATCGACTTTTTGTTCAGTTTTTCAGTCTTTATTCGCGTCTACCGCCTTCTCTGGAATAAGTTGACCAGCCCAACATGTCAGCAGTGTTTACTGTCAGTATGATTTATACAAATAGACAGTTTTAGGACATGGATCATGGGACTTAAATTGAATCTCACCTATTTTGCACGTATCCTTAATGATGACACTAAACAAACACGTTTCGCTTTTTTTTAAGCGCATGATTAATAGCGCACCGCTCTGCATGACCCTAGTTTTCTTTGTCACACTAATGTGTAGCTTTAAGGTCTTTTCATAATGATAATGTCATCCCATTGGGCCCAGCTTATCCAATGTATGTTAAGTATATATGAGTGAAGTCTTGAGCTGGTGTAGAGTAACTGGCAGCAAATACGATGCTTTTGTTTAAAATCCTAATGACCTTGTCGCACGGTCAATATTGATCCTCTTGAAATCTGCAATACCAAAGGATGTCCTGTTTTACTAGATTAATCAAATCCAATGGAACTGACGTTCTCGTGCACTTTGTTCAACTTTGTGGGCATCTGTCATGAATTTATTAAAGAGACAATCGAAGAGTAACATTTTCAAAAATACGCCATTTTGAGAGGATAGCAGAAACCCCAACACAAGATAATCTTGTTTGGAGTCTGAGTGGGCGTATGGAGCAAAAAGGAAACGGACAGCTTATGTTAATCAGAACAATAATTGTAGAATCTGCCACACAGCAACAGCTTCGTTTGTTTATGTGTCATGACTGTGACTATAAATGGCATCTGCTTCTGAGGTAAATCTGAACACATCGTCAAACCCGTTTGTGATGATTAAATAATGGAGCTACATCCTACCTATTCCCATGGTCCATGTCCAGAATCCTTTAAGGTGCTTGTCAGAAGGGGAGGGATGAGAAGATGGAGATTGTTTCAATCGTTTCTTAGAGAAAAAAATAAATAAAGGGCAGATTATTTTGTCAAAGCCTTAAATAGCTATAGGGTGAGTGGGGGAAGATGTGAGATGTGTCACAGTTTGCTTATGTTGTCCTCTAGGGATGGAGAAATAAGATTTTAAATGAATTAAAACAAAGTTCTCAACATGTGGACAGGAGAGCTGTCAATCAATAAATTGAAAAAAAAAGTAACTTGCGTTACTTATTTGAAAAAGTAACTCAGATATTCTCTTGTAAATTAAAAAAGTAATGCGTTACTTTACTAGTTACTTGAAAAAAGTAATCTGATTACGCAACTTGCATTACTTGTAATATATTACCCCCAACACTGATCACAATAATAGTATTTTTGCTTCTTTCAAAAACATTAAAAATACATGCATATATATTTATGCATAAGTTTGTATTGACATAAAATAACCAGGCAGTTTTGCATCATAGGCCCTTTATCAATGTTTGGTCATGTGACAATAATTATGAAGAGTTTTTCCTGAAGCTTCTCAGTAGGTGTTTGCTTCAACACAGATAATGTCAAGTTTATCTGTGTTGAAGCAAACACCTATTGAGAAGCAGCAGGTATGCCTGCATTTCCCCAACGTTAATCAAGTGAAACAGGAAATCATGTCCCAAAATGCAGAACCAGAAAGATGTTTATCTAGTGAATGGCACAAATGAGTAAACAGTTCACACGTCCAGTTTGTCACACCCCAACATGTGCAGGTATGACGAGGAGAGCAGGAAGTGTCATTTTCTGTCGTAATGTTTTTGCAATCTGGGGCATCAAGCTCCTCTTCCTGTTCCTTCATTGAATGAATCCCTCATTTTAATGGTGTTCATCCTCTGCTCGTTCACTGAACCTGCCATTCATTTGAACTCTCAGACATCTTACAGGAAGAAATTCAAAGGTCAGTCATAAAATGATACTTTTAACATTCATTGAAATCAATAATGGGACCAGTTTCTCAGTTCAGATTCTCTTGAGTATCACTGAATTATTCTGAATTATTCCTGTATTTGCTCCAGCTTTTATGACCCACCGATACAGCTGTAAACAGGAACTCCACCATCTGATCGTGACAATAGAGGAGTTCAACCTAAACACCAAAACAAGTTGGTATGGAGCACATGAAGTATACAGGTGGATCTGAACTGTCTGACTTGTGAATCATTGTTTAGAACAACTGGTTTTGATGAGTAAGTCATGTAGATGCTGTACGGTGAAAAGTCTTCTTTCATGCCTGATGGAAGTTAAATGACAGTTTCCTCAAGTGAAAATGAATAATGAGAATGTAAAATGCGTCTTTAATTCTGCTGAAACGTGGACACATACAGGCGGCCCCATCAAAATTTTTATATCTGCTATCTAAATACATCATTCCATTTAAAGCAACATTTCAACACCATTGCTATATTTCAAATGAATTACATAATTTTATGAAGAATTGTTTTGTTGCTTTTCCAGTCGCAAACTGGTGTTGGTTACCCCACTTTTCCTTCTTTGATGAATGTCTACAAGAACAAAAGTTTTAGTTTGCTCCTAGTTGGGTCAAGTGCTCAGGTAAAAACATTCTTGACAGAATATGTCTTTATTTATTTTTTTTAAACATGACTAAATTTATGTTCCACATCTTTGCCAACCAACCCCAACAATAATTAATTGTTAATTTTTCTAATTTTATATCCATTTTCTAACCCACTCACACTCTTTTCAGCCTGGCATCATCATTTATTACAGGCTTCCACATTTTAAATCAAAATTCATAAAATGGATAATCCCAGTCCTGGCTTCTGATTGCTATTTTTGATGCATAAATAATGCCTAATAACAGCCTTTAGCCAGTGAAACACAGTATGGCCTCTTGTGCCTCGGTTAAATAACTTTTTTTCCAAATAGCTTTTCTTAAATAGCTTCCTGTATTTTTATAACAACTTCAGCTGAAGTGGTTAGTTTTTGTTTTGGCATTCAAAAACTGAGAAGTTGAACTCATAATGAGAACTTTTAATAATTTATGTCATGATAATATCATTGTGGATCAAGACGACAAACATTCAGATGTCACAGAATGCACTTATGAACTAGACAAATGAATTTTTTATTTTTTTTAATAGGTTACAACTGAAGAACCTTTCCTCATTCTCTAGGTCTTTAGAAAACCTATGGACTAGTGGTTTGATGAATCCAGAAACCAATACTCTGATCATATGAACTGGTAATGTGACTTCAAGACCTTTTTTAATTTCCAAAGAACCCTATAAAAAACTCAAGAACCCAAAACACAGAAAAACTGGTCTTCATAAGGAGAAAATGCTGTGCTGAAAAGAACAGTTGAAGAACCTGTATTAGTAGGCTATATTCAACCAGACTCTTGTAAAATATACATATATATTTATTTTTTTTCAGTTTTAACTTTGAATACAAATCTCATTTTATTAACCTTTATTTATTGAATAATTGTCATATAGGAGATGCCTGCTACATTGACTGAAAACAGTCAACCATATCTGTCGCTCCGTCAAAATAATGTGTCATGAAATCAAACCCAACCAAGAGCTACTGACGAGATTTAGTAGTAAAGCTGTTGAAATATTTTTGTCTCCTGTGGTTTTTCTGTCGCTGGTCTCAGGTTGCAGTCAAGGAGGAGCTGATATCCTCCCGTGGGCCTGTGCTGGACGCTGCTCCTCTCATATAAAGCGCTTCCCAATGCCGGAGGAAACATTGAATCACAGCTTCAGAGGGGAGTCGAGCACCATCCACTGATCTCTCTCACAGTGCTCTTCAGCCACCAGCTGCTCAGTCAAAGTCATCTCTGATTGAGCTTTTACTTCGCTTTTAATTCATCAACGAAAGAAAAACTCTAGGTCACATTCGCGCCCGAGAAACAAAGTTTGAGACGAAGGGAAGCTGAAGTTTTGAGAGCGCACATGGCTGCTCTGATAAGCGCGTATTCGTCCTGGCCGGAGAGCTTTGAGTGCTCCGCGGGAAATGCGGACGTACCTGACGGACACACCTCCCACAGAGCTCCCGCGGACAAGGTGTCGGAGCCGCGTATCAGGAGACCCATGAACGCCTTTATGGTGTGGGCCAAAGACGAGCGCAAGAGACTCGCAGTGCAGAACCCCGATCTCCACAACGCGGAGCTAAGCAAGATGCTGGGTAAGACATTACCAATACTATTTGTGTAATAATCATTATTATTATTAACAACTCATATTTATTATTATTATTAGGCTATTATTATTATTAGCTTATTACAGTAAGAGATTGTTATTAATATCACTGGCAAGTTTTGTGAGGCTTCATCTTCTGTTACAGAAGATTCAGTTTTGAATCAGTTCTGTTCAGTTTTTATTTTGTTTTTATGTATCCATTGCAGAAAGTGGGGTGTTTAACATCATCTAAACTAGTTAAACAAAAAGATGTAAGTATTTTTTTTGGAAGCTTGAGAAGCGTAAGGCACACAGAGAGCGTCAATCTGTTCGAGAGCAACCTGAACTGAAACTAAACTGAAATAAATCACAGTGAGATGAGGCACATCTTTAAATTGTATTTGGTTGTATTTAGATCAAGAGCGCATATTATCATTTAACACTTATGGGAGACTTTTTCCCCCCCAATCATAAATACTATATAAATCTGAGTTTATATAAAATATCAAAATAATTTCAATATTTAAACTATTTAAAAACAATAATAGAAAAGAATTAATAGAAACAATTTCAAATTCATTAATTTGAAATCAGTATGATCTTTGGGGTTGTTTAAGAAATAACTGAAAGAAAAGTGTAAAACTTCATGGGATAACGAATTAAGAAGATGTTTTTTTTTGTATGTGAGTATATTTTTTAATCAGTTTTTATACTGTTATACATTATTTCAGTTGTGATAAATTTGCCGGCCTGTTTTAACAGTTATTTTAATGTATTTATTTATTTTTGCTGCTCTAATTTTTCAAATTCTTTCAAGTATTCCTAAAAGCTAAAAATGATCAACTCAGTATAATTACTGCCAATATTATATTTCAAACATTATAAAATGAATGCCAAGCTACAAATAATATACCTTTAAAAGATTTAAAAACTATGGTGCAAAAAGATATATATTTTAACTGGCATTATAAGCAATTATACTAGCTGATGATTATTTATTTGTATTATTTCTGTTTAAATATGTTTTAAATGGTTATGAAGACATTATTTAATTTAGCTTTGTTTGCTGCACAATATATAAGCAGACAAACTAACAGTTTGTAAACTAATAATGCATTTAATGATTTTGTGTTGGTGCTAGTGTGATTGTAAATGGAATAATTAACTGGGCAATCTCAAAAACTCCAAATTGATCCTTCAAAAATACAGTATTAAGTCGTATGCTCCTGTTTTTCCCCCCTCCAACAGGAAAGTCATGGAAAGCTTTAACTCCACCGCAGAAGAGACCATATGTGGAGGAAGCGGAGCGGCTGAGGGTGCAGCACATGCAGGACTACCCCAATTATAAATACCGTCCCCGTAGGAAGAAGCAGCTGAAGCGCATCTGTAAACGCGTGGACCCTGGCTTCCTCCTGACCACCCTCGGCCCCGACCAAAACTCCCTCCCAGATCCCAGAGGCTGCTGTCACCCCCTCGATAAAGATGACGAGAGCGCTGTGAGTGGCACTGTCGGCTTCAGTTCTCCCAGTGTAGCTTTACCCGGCGTCAGGGTCTTCAGAGATCCCGCCAGTTCCAACAGCAGCTTCGATACGTACCCATATGGCTTGCCCACGCCACCTGAGATGTCGCCTCTGGACACTGTGGATCACGAACACCAGTCCTACTACTCATCCTCCAGCTCAGTCTCCACCAGCTCCTGCTCGTCTTCCACCTCTTGCCCAGACGACAGGCATCCCACCCCGGTGCACATGAGCAGTCCACCCCACTACCATCCCGATTACTCCCAGCAGGTACCTTTGCACTGTAGGAGCTCACATTTGGTTCACATCCCAATGTCCCATCAGGGAAGTGGGGTGACCCTTATCACAGCTCCTCCATTGTCCTATTACAGCCCTTCATTCCCGCAGGTTCAGATCCATCATGGGCACCAGGGGCACCTGGGCCAGCTTTCGCCCCCTCCAGAGCAGGGGCACCTAGAGGGTCTGGATCAGCTGAGCCAGGCTGAATTGCTGGGTGAGGTGGACCGAGATGAGTTCGACCAGTACCTAAATTCTACAAGTTATCACCCCGAACAGGGTGGGATGACAGTCACGGGACACATCCAGGTAACGCCGGCTTCTGTTTGCTCCAGCAGCGCTACGGAAACCAGTCTCATCTCCGTATTGGCCGATGCCACGGCAGCCTATTACAACAACTATGGCATTTCATAAACACAAAACAGAGGCAGTTGACACAGACATAGACTGTGGGCTCGACAAGGGTCAGCAATATAACTGGCAAGTGAAAGGAAGGCTGTGGAGGGAGCGGAAAAGAGAAGCTACAGGAAGTCAAAGGACACCTCAGGGATGCATAGATAAAAAAAACTGAAGTTCATTCCCATCTTTGTTTCCAAAAGAAGAACGGAAGTAAAAGAAAAAATGGACAAACAGAAAATGCTCACATATCTTGCCACAAAAGCATGTACATATGCTATAAAGCTTATTTATGTATCAAATTGCTTTGCATTAAAGCTTATTGTATTGCATTTTTCAGTCCAGATATATTCAATAGATTTTTTTTCAAACATAAGTTGTTTTACGTCAAGATTTATTTAAGTGAGGCTGGTCTCTTTCTTTATAGGATATCATTTTGAAGGAAATTCTGCCCTTTCTTTTCCCTTTACATTCATTACAAAAATGTATTTGAATACTCATAAACAGTTAAAAGAATAATAATAATGAATACTATTGTATGCCAATTTAGATTTGCCATATTAATTTAATTGAAATAAAATTTTGAGTTTTATACATTTAGCATTCTCACTTTTGATATCCTCACTGATGTCAATAACAAGCGAATGAACATTACATTACTGATTTCATGATAAATTGCATTGTTTATGCCTATTTAAGTACAGCAAAATGATTATGTCTGTAGGTCTGGACTTAAGAAAATAATGTTGCAGATGCTCTTCATTTTGTGATATATTAAAAGTGAATGTTCTGAGGCCCCATCTGAATTAGACGTCACTAAATAAAAACACAAAATAAATACAGGTGAAAAGACTCTTGATTTTGTAATGACTGGTAGATCAAGATTTTTTGCTCTCTCTGTTAGTAGTAGTAGTAAGTATAGACTGCTTTATTGAAAGTTAAAGGTTTATTTTCAGCTTCATTATAATTATTCAGTTCTTTTTAAGTTTCATTATTATTATTATTATTATTATTATTCGTGAGTATATAATTTCTTTATGGAAGTTAAATGTTTTTGCTTTTTCATTTTTCATAATATTTTTTTTTATCATTAGTGAGTATATAAACTTCTTTACAGGATACTAATAAATGTTATTTTTATCCACAATTATTTCTTAGAAATATTTAATTCTAATTTTAAACTAAACGTTTAATTTTTTTTCAATATTTGTGTAGCTTTTTTTCCATGCATTTCTTTTAGTATTGAATGCTACCGTTTGAGGTCCCTTCAAGAAGCTGACCTCTAAATTTTTTGTTGTTGTGCGTGACGGGCCATTGCCATAACCATAGTGTTGGAAACTGGCGGCATCCATCCTAAGTTCCCAGTTTGCTATCAGCAACACCCATTATGCACTCAGTTTCACTCCTCCGCGGATCAGAGGATTAGTGTAAAACAGGCTCTGCTGTTTTTCTCCCCGCCTCCATCTCCACGGGCCTTTTGTTTCCCCTCGTCTTATTCTGGGTGCGTGTCTTAAGCAGATCGCTGGAACTCCACTCCTACCCTACCTTCCCCCCCCTCTGCTGCCTGTCCTATCTTGCTGATGCAGACTTTCATAATCTCTGCGAAATAAACAAATACACCTCGTCCCGTCAACTGTTTTACACATTCATCGTTTTTATTTTTCTGCCTCTGTCTCTCTCGCTCGCTCTTTTCAAATTCCTCCTCTTTTCTGATAAAAGGAATCTGAAGTGGGGGAAAGCGGGAGGCGGTGGCGGGCGTTTGACAAATCCTGGAGTCTGGCTTGGTCTTCCTGCGTTTTTTGGGAACGGTTGAGTCGTGTTTCTTGTAAAGAGGATGTGGTGGAGAAGCAGTGTTTCCTGCCTGATAAGAGTAAAGCCTCTCTCCATCAGGATGTTTGGGCCCTGGCCGGTCCCTGCATTAAAAGAGCCCACGGCGAGGGAAAGGGAACCTGCTGTTCATTTTAGAAGGGAGGAAACATGGCTCTTGTTGATTAATATCTCACACCGTGATTTTTTTTAGGGCTTCGATTTGACCCTCCTCTGGTTTGGCCACACACTTTTCATAATCTGTCTCTGTCACTGGCTCCAAAGACATGGTTATGAGGCGTCATATTTATTTTTATGAAACATTTCAGTCAAGGGACATTCATCATGTGACTCCAATTTCTTTTCACAAGTGAGGTTGTTATTAACAGCCTGTGAGTGAATGCTTAAGGTTTAGGGGAGAGAGGGTGATTGGGGCCATCAGCCCCAGGCCGAGGCTTGAATTGTGGCTTATGACCCAAACACCTCTAGGTTCAGAGTAAGTGGGCCCATTATAACATTCTCCACTGGCCTTGGGGAAGGGCACTGTGTCATGGTAAACCATACGCACTTCAACATCAATATGTTTACATACATTTTAAAAGTTTGATCTCAATACAATTGGCCTCGTCATTGTGTTGTTGTTTTAAATTACAGAGAAGATGTGCAACATATATTCAATCAATTAAATATTCAATTACGCATTGCATGTATACTTAGTAGACAAACTGACAGACATATTTAAGCTAAATTTAGACTTTGTTTTGACTAATTGTATTTAAAAATATACTATCCTGCAATAATAAATGATTATATCTCAGTTAGGGTCACAATATCAATCTTGAACAGGCAAATTTATTAAATGCAAGAAAAACACCTTTATTTACATAAACGAGTCCATAGCACAGGGAATTGGATAAGCATTTGATCTGTTATTGAGTGATTAAATGAATCGCCCGAAAACTGGTCTAAAATGACTCGACTTTCCACCACTACACAGAGGGAAGCGTTTAGAGTGAACCGAGCCACCTGAATTAATCAAATTTCCAATGCTGCATATCAGAAAAGCACCATTAAGAATGAACGATTCATTAGAATTGCACAACAGTGGACCGTTTAGGTGAGCACGTGATTCTCTCAGAGATCTAGCGTTGCCTTTAGTAGCTCCTTTCTGGAATATATTTCAAAATATTATCCACTATTTTAATTATATTTCACTAGACACATTAACCTAATTAAATTAAGACATAAAGGAGAGTTAAAGGAGAGTTTAGGGGAGTGTGTTTGATTATTCTTTCAGCTATGTTGCATTTAGTCACAGTATCAGTAGTCTCACGCCCACGGATCGTTGACTGAATGTTTGATGCATTATATGACACATAAAAAAGGCCTTTATCGTACTTCCATGTTCGAAAAATGGAAGTTTCTAATAGTAGCGTAAAAAAACTTCCGCTGCAGCCTGTATCATTGGCCATAGCATGGGATTGTTGTGATTTATTTATGTAAAATTCAGCACAGATACATCTTATAAAGATACCAAACTCAGTTTACAATCATTAATTGAGTATTGTGAAACCAAGGAGATGGTTTCATGAAATTCTGACATATAATTCATGACTTAAAGGGGAGCGCACAAGCCATACTGTATGTGTATGCGCAACAATACTTCAGAGTCTGACCATCTTATTTCATTACAGAACTGCAAGAAAACAAACAGCATATCACGTAAAACAGCGGCAGCGAAAATCGCGTCGCTCAGATAATGTTACATTAAAATTAAAGATAACATAGGCCATCAGTATAAATAAACAGTTTTAAATATTGACGCTTATTGCGAAGTCCAACTAAATTAGAACTAAACTATTAGAATTAGAATTAAACTAAATTAAATTTTCTTAACAAAACTGGCATCTGTCCATTGACAATAGTGCAGGTGGAAATTCCTTAATGCTACTAACTGGAGCCGGATGTGACGACACACGGACTGTGATAAAGGCCTATTGGAAACACTTCAGGTGTTTCGAAGTCGTCATCGGATTGTATGAAATATACAGGATTTCCAGGAAACGTTTGTGTCACGTTCTTTACCCTTCTGCCTAGAAACAAAGATGCTGTGATGCCAAACCACCTCATGGAAGAAGAAAGCCGTCATGTTTACAACTGTGACAATGAGCGCTTATCAGGATCAAGTAAACGCTGGGTTTTCAAAAGTGCGTGGAATATTTAAAGTTTGCTGCATAGAATCTTTAAAATAAGTCCAACGGTGCGTCAAAAATCACATACTGTCTGGGCAGGTACTACATTTGAATTTGAATTTAATTCACGACCGTTAAAAAAGTATGTTCTATAGTATGAAAATGGGTAGTATGAATGAAATTCGGATGTACTACATCCACCATGTTGTTACTGTCACATGACCTAGGTGTTGGACTTGAAGCAGAACTGCATAGACTGTTCTGTGTGTGACATCAAAGTACAGCGAGAGCGTTTAGACAGCATTTTTAAAATGTTTGTTTTGATGTCAAATAAGTCTTGCTGTTTTGCTTTTTTGTTAAAGCAGTGTTGCTGTTGTAAAGTTATACAGCTACGGTGTGTTGCTGGGTTTTAAAGCAGGTCTGATTTTTTTTAATCTTCCTTATCGCTCTGTATTTACAGGATTTCACTGTACTGTATTCAGTAGGTGTAATGTATTCTAAGTTGCTTCAGAAGTATTGCAAGTACTAAGTACAACAATAAAACAGTGCATTGACATAAGAAAGGAAATGTACTTTTGGTACTTAAGTACTTTTAAAAGCAAGTACTTCTGTACTTTTACTTGAGTAAAAATCTGTCTTTACAACTTTTACTTGTAATGGAGTAATATTTGACCAGCAGTATCTGTACTTTCACTCAAGAAATGGAGTTGAGTACTTTGTCCGCCTCTGGATGCAGCACAAGAGTTTTACACACCTGTCTGTTATTGTGGGGACATTTCCACCCCCCTAAACATGACGCGGCACAAAACAAAACTTGATTGGTCATTGGCCATTCAAAGCGGCCAAGTTTCCTTTCTACGTGAGACTATGGTTTCAGCTACTCTTTGAATTAAGTAGCTTGATAGGTACTGGTCATATTTCAACATATTATCCATTATTTTATTTATTTGTCACTGGACACATTACCTCATTAAAATAAGACTTAAAAAGAGAGTTTAGGATCGTTTAGATGAGTGTGCACGCTTTCACCTAAAACAGTAGCGTTTAGTGGCACTGATAAATAGCATGTTACTTGGTATATTTCAAAATATCATCCATATTTTTATTAATATTTAAGTGGACACATTAATCTTATTTGAAATAAACAAAAAAAGAGAGTTTAGATAAGGATTGTAAAACAATAGTGTTTAGTAGTGCTGTTAAGTAGCTGGGCATATTTTAAAATATTATAATTATATTTCACTGGACACACTAACTGGAGACTGCTGACTTTCAGGAAACCAGGGCAAACAATCAACTCACCTGCTACAATCTTTTCCTGTGTGAAACTTGAAAAATTCTCCATGCAACATACTAAGAATGCACTGCACTCAGTGTCACCCACGGAATGGCCCCTATTTCCATGTTCCTTAAATAGGCCAGAGTGT